TGTAATCCTAGCCTTTTGCTGATAAAAGGATAGCTCACAAGCTAATAGCTTACTGTATTTGGAAATACAACACTTTTCTTTTCTGATGAGTACAGAGTTAAGGGGATCAGATTGCAATTTCATTTGTACTTCATCAACTTCAGTTTTAGCTCTTAGGACCTGTTCACTTATATTGCTAAAATGCCTTTTGTTTAGTCCTTTAAGAGACTCTTTAAGTTTCTTCAACTTTGAATGCACGGAGAACATTTTGCAACCTCTCACAGGAGTCTCCCAAATTGCTTTTACTGTAGGAAGAAATTCATCATGTTTTATCCACATTTTGAAGAATTTAAAAGGTTTTTTCCCCTGAACTTTGTCTTCATAAACATAAACAAGAGCTGGAGAATGATCTGAAAAACTTGGAAGCATGTACTCAACATGACTTGCATTGTACTTGCTAATCCAGAGATCATTTACTAAAGCCCTATCCAGCCTACACCACACTCTAGAATCAGAATCTTGCTTGTTGTTCCATGTATAGAAACAGTCAATAGTTTTGAGGTGAGATAACTGACAATCTTCAATGAACCTGCAGAAATCATTTGTATCATTATCAGTTAACAAGGTACCTCCCAGTTTTTCTTCATTACTGATCATGACATTGAAGTCTCCACAAAGTAGCCATGCTTGATTTCCAATTGCCTGTTTGATCTGAGTTAATTCCAACCACAAACTTTTTCTGGCTTCTTGATGATTGAAGCCATATACTGTAGATAAGATGCTATTGAAGTTACCATCCTTTGAATTAACAGAGCATGTAACTTGCTGAGGGGAGTAATACAGCACTTGAATGTCTAGGATATCAGGATCCCACAAAGTGAGGATTCTAGCTTTAGTAGAGCTATTTGCATTTGAAAACCAACTCCAATTCTTTGCAATCTTATTAGCAGCCACAGAAACCTTTGTGTCACTTATTTTTGTTTCAAGAAGAGAGAAGAAAGAAAGATGATATTGCATAATATGGCATTTTGCCAAGTGCTGTTTAGGGGACTTATTTAAGCCCCTAACATTCCAAAAGGAGAAATTCATGCTGATTTACCTCCCCTATCAATTGTAGAGGGATCAAAGTCATTTGCTTCATTGTTCAACAGAGAAAAAGGATTCATAATCATGGAATTCTTCCTCTCTTGATTCTGGATTTGTACCCTTGAAGCTACATATTGTGATTTCCTGCTGGTATTAGCGTGCACAACATGCACAGAACAGTGTTCTCCAGATAATCCAGAATTGATACTTTGCTGACAAATACCAATATCCTTTCCTGTGGACTGATTTATCTCCTGCAGTTTCTCCTTTCCTTTCCTATATTTTACTAATCCCTTTTTCATTCCACAGATTGAGTTTTAGTGCAGGAAACTGGATCCACATAGGGTAAATGTGTTCATCAACTTTTTCAAGATCCTCCCCCATAGACCATGCTTTTAATAGGAATGGTCTTGAACCAAAAAACCAAGGTCCACTCATAAGAACTTCATTCATTTCATCTTTGCTATTGAAATTAAAGAGAAAAACCCCTGGCTTAAGAAGACAGATTTCAGGAATTGCAAGATGTGCCCAGACTTTTTTAACAAAATTTTCCATTGCTTTGAATCTTACATTGATACCTAGAACTTGACCAACAAGTGAGAATTTCCAAAGAGAGGCTCCTTCATTCCATTCATCATCATCAAAAGTGACTGTATCGACTGTTTCAGAAGGAATGTAGCTCAAATCCAAGCCGCAACCTGGTTTTCTATTGTCTGAAAAGAGACTCGCCCAACTTTTCTTTTCATTCCCACCAGAGGTAGAAACAGTAGGATTCAAATTGTCACTATTGTCCAATGTAACAGTAGTTGAAACAGGCTTCGTAGCAGAAATCAATGGAATAGTATCACTTTTATCAGAAGGAATTGATTTTGAAGCAGAAAACAAAGGACTAGGATTAACTTCTCTTGGCGAATCTGGACATTGAAGACGAGAGAGAGAATCTGGACATTGAAGACGAGAGGAGGAACCCTCTTTCACCAGATCTACTTCATCAGCCCAAGTAATTTTATTAGAGC